CACTCGTCTAGGCAAGGTTACTTTACCAAGTGAGTCCGGGTCTCGTTCGGAATAATATATGAGATCTGGGCTGAAATAGGTGTGGGAGGATTGCTGCCGAAACATATTGGTTCAGGTTTTAGTACCGCCATGGGTACCATTTCAGTTTTCCTCATCCGACTGCAAGTCGAATCAGCCTTCATTTGCATTGAATCAACCTCATGTCCTGCAAGTCCACAGAAGAAAAGGAGATCGCAGACTAAACCAAATCAGGTTTTTTTAGGCTTTGGAGCTGCTGAGTTGCAGGGAGAGAAGGAAAGATAAAGCAGTGGGTTTTTGGACTTCTGTTTTTCCTGCTCTAGTTCTAATGTAGTAGCAATTTCCTCAATTTCAGACTCCACCTGTGCGTACCCAATTCAAGTCCCCTGACTCTGAAGCTTAAGTAAACTGCTGATCTGATGGCTTTTTGAGATCAAGGTGAATAAATCAACGGGTGATTGGTTTGGGTCGAAAATTTCCATGTCAAAAGAGGGTTGACAACTGGGTTGGGTGTTCAAAGGCTCAAAGAACGAAGGGAAGTCGGATGGGAAATTAGAGGCGGGAGGAAGGTTTTCGGTGTTAGCTGCTGGCGGTGGCAAATCTGGGGTATTGGAGGTGGGTGGTGAACTCTTTTACAGTTTCTTAGGCGGTATAATCCGGTTTTATTCCGGTATTTTCCCGGTATGGTACCCTAATTTTGTCGGTACGGTTTTTTAACAAAAAAATAATTTTTTTATTCCAAAAACGGTATTTACCGGTAGGAAACGGTTGAACCATGGTTGTACCACGATTTACCATGCCAAAAACGATTCCGGTTTGATGTCCGGTACGGTTTCGTAATCCATGGCTCAAACCATGCTCACTACGAGCTATAAAATTAAAGCTCATACTCAGCTCGCCAAAAATATTTGAAGCTCAGACTGACTCAATATTAGCACTTGCGAGCTCAACAAGCCCATCCCAACTAGCAGCTCAGCTCAATTGAAGCACTTAAAATTGGGCTTTAACAAAACAAACTAAAATCAACTACTACGAGGAGTTCCATAAATAAAGGCCCAAATCAAATTGAGCTTCACAATGGACTGCATGACATTATTCTAGAGTTCATTTAATTTATAGCTTCCTTGAGAATGGATTCTTTGTTGGGCAATGTCTATTTTTTACCCAAACCTTTTTCAGATTCTTTTATTTTAACCAAACTTATAGAAATTCTATTTATTATCCAAACGTATTATAATTTATCAAAGTCTGGGCATTCATTCTATTACCGTTACTTATTTCGTCCACGTGAGGAGTGGGATTTTGTTTTGTTTTTTGATAATCTTTTTATTAAAAATAGTAAATGATGGTATTTTGACCGCCACGTAGGAAGTCAACTCATTATGGTCATACTTATTCAGCATTACTAACAGAAAAGTTGACGGAGAGTTAACGTTTGGATAATTTTTAGGAATTCAATAGGTTTGGGTAAAAAATAGACATTGCCCTTCTTTGTTCACAAACGATGTGGTATAAAAATTCACTTAGACAACACTGCAGCAGCCAGCGCCAAGCAGCAAGCATGTTTCAGTTTGGAATTGAGAAATTGATAAATGTGCATTTACAATTCACAAAGTAATGGAATGAATGTGAACTGAACTAAGATCGTTTAATGGAAGGGAGAGAGGATTTGATTGACAAATCTGTACTTTTTATTCTATGTTTTTTACCAATGGAAAGATAGGAAGATTAGCAGTAGCTAACGTTAAGCCAGACAAGCTCAAACTATGAGGGCAGCTCACATCTTGCTTCTGTGTGTTTTTTGTTCGTCTTTGTCAGCAGCAGCTCCCAGTTATAGTACCATAAGCTTGCTATTTGGAGCAGCTGCTTGGGATGAAGGCTTCTTTTGTACAGAACTGAAGGTCTTGGAATTAATTCTAGGAGCTCTTAATGTACAAAGCCTCGTTTAGAATGGTATTTTCTTTCTATTTCATGTTGTGGTTGTGCTCAACATTTGTGCATCAATAACTCGTATTTTCATTTGTATGTGAAATTGCATTGGAGCTTAAAGACTATATGTTATCAAGTAACTCATGTTTGATTAGCCATATCCAAAGTACGTGGTTAGAGTACAAGGTATGTGGTGTAGAGTATAGGATATATGGTTAGGGTATAGCAATTAGCAAATATCACTTTTTATCTATGTTTTGAAAATCAACAACTCATAAGGACATATGGTTAGGGTATGTGGTTAGTGTATAATATATTGATGGTTTAGGATATACAATCAACAACATATACTAACTTAATATTGTCGATGGAGGGTAAGGCTAAGTGTATAGGATATATGTTATTGAGTACGTTATGATTGAAGTCGCAATAATTTTACTAAATTTGATAGTTAATCTTTGATGATTCAATTTTTAGGATAATTCAAACAATTTTACAAATAACTCGTTTGGCAACAGTTTACTGAAGTTATTTGGGCAATGAGTTATTTCGAAATAACTCATTTTATCACTCTGCTTTTGCCAAATACCACATGCCAAATACCAAATTTGCATGGTTATACTAAAGGAGGTACTTTAATCCAATTACTACTGAAATAATACTAAAATATCAAATAAACAATTAATGGTATCTTTTGGTTGCAAATATTGATATCACCATTACTATTAGCTAGTGTACTTTACCAATTATGATTAATTACATAACAAGTTTGCAAGTCATACAAATTGGTTTAGCATTCTGACTAGTTTTTTTCAAAAAAAATTAAGTATATATACACGAGGTTAAATTGGTTAAAAAGTTGAAAAAAATATTTTAAATTAGTGTATAAAATGTGTAAGTTGGTAACGATTAATGAGTAAGTTACTCGATGCGCTGGCCCGAACAACCCAAAACCCGATCCGCCCGCAACCCGCCCGACCCAAAACCCGATGAACCCGCAACTCGATTTGCCCGCAACCCGATTGAACCCGAACCCGATGAACCCGCAACCCGTTTGAACTCGACTAACCCGCAACCCGTTTGAACCCGAACCCGATTGAATCCAACCCGAACCCGCCCGAAACTGCCCGATTGACACCTATAGATAGAATCATGAAGAATGTAAATCAACTAAGGCTGCTTGGTGAGACTTTTGATGATTCTAGGGTTGTTGAGAAGATCTTAGTTACTGTGCCTGAAAATTTTGAGGCTAAGATCTCAGCTTTGGAGGAATACCCCCGGCCCGAATCTGTTATCTATAGTCTTCAAAATCGAAAGAAAATGACATTTCAGAAAAATCATCCGAAATCTTTGATGGCCCTTTGGAATCTGCCAAAAATGTACCCGGAAGAAATCCGCCCAAATCGATGCTTAATAGACTTAATCATTCATTAAAGAATAGCCTCAAGCCGAATATGTGATTTGTAGCTTTCAAAATCCAAGAAAAATTGCATTTCGAAAAAAAAAATCACCCAATAAATTATGAAAATGTCATCCGCAAATAAATTCGCCCTAATTGGTGTTTAATGGACTCAATCATTGGTGGAGAATAGGATCAATAGACTTCATCATCGGTGGAGAATATCGTTGGCCGAGTCCGTGATCTGTAGCCTTCAAAATCAAAAGAAAATGGCACTTCAGAAAAATCGCCCGAAATCTGTGATAGTACCCCTTTGGAATCTGCCAAAAATGGACCTGGAAGAAATCCGTCCAAATCAGTGCTTAATGGACTTAATCATTGTTGAAGAATAGCCTCAGGCCGAATCCGTGATCTGTAGCCTTCAAAATCAAAGGAAAATGACATTTATTAAAAAAAAGTACGAAAATGTCATCCGAAATTAAATTCGCCCAAATTGGTGTTTAATTGGTTGATCAGTGCTTAATGGAATTAATCATCATTGAAGAATAGCCTCGAGCCGAATCCGTGATCTGTATCCTTCGAATCCAAGAAAAATGCCTTTTCGAAAATTTTTTGCAAAACCTCGGAAATGCCTTCCGAAATTAAATTCGCCCAAATTAGTGCTTAATGGACTCATTCATCGGTGGAGAATAAGATCAATAGACTTCATCGTCGATGGAGAATATCCTCGAGCCAAATCTGTGATCTGTAACCTTCAAAATCGAAAGAAAATGGCATTTCCAAAAAATCACTCAAAATCTGTGATGGTACCAATTTGAAATTTGCCAAAAATGGACCTGGAAGAAATCCATCCAAATCGGTGCTTAATGGACTTAATCATCGTTGAAGGATAGCTTCGGGCCGAATCCATAATCTATAGCCTTCAAAATCAAAGGAAAATGGCATTTACCAAAGGTAAGCTAGACTAACCGTAAAGTTGCCGTGACAGTGAAGGTTTGTGAGTTGCAGATCTCAGGTTCAAATCCCAGCGAGGCCCGTTGGTGTTCTCGGAGGTACAAGGGGACTATGGGCGAAACTCCGTTGGCGTCGAATTGATTGCAGGTGGCATACAAGTTTAGTATGTCTCGCTATCGCAAACTGGCATATGAGGCTGAGGTTCTTGGGTAATCAAAAAAGGAAAATGGCTTTCAAAAAAAAATCTCACCAAAATAAATGTCACCCGAAAATAAATTCGGTTAAGTTGATGTTTAATCAACTTAATCATAGGTGGAGAATAGGACAAAATGTAATTAATAAAATTCATTTTTGAACTACCCAAATTGTCATTGGTTGTGAACGAATCCGCCCCGCATATTACAACAATCCAACATGTAGGAAAGGGGAAAGGTAAGTTAGTTAAGTAAACCACTAAAAAACGTATCTACTACAGTTAACATCATCAACAAAATCAGCGAATTTGAATCTTCTACGGCTCACAAATTTATCACAGTAGGTCAACGTAGATGTCTTTACTCGTTTTTGGTTTTTTGAAAAATTCTCTCTTATTTTCAACCTTCTTGACCTTGTAACATGTCACATTAGCTCCCCTTCTACTTCTACATTTCTTCGTTCTACGATTTTTACGATCGTATTTTGGAGTTAGTCCATTGCTTATGTACATTTCACTCTTTCGATGAATACAAGTACACATTTATAAAATAAAATGAAATAAAAAAAGTGGAAGGTACATAAACGCTTGCAGCAGGTTTCTAAGCTTAAATTTAGTCAACTATAAAACTCCTTTGCGTCAAAATGCCTGCAGATATTAAGATTGCAGCTCACACAACACGTTCTTGGAAGTTGGAACACGGCAACCGGCAAGTCTGTTAAATCCTTAATGATCCCACCACAGAGTATTAATTCGACCTACAACTAGCATACATGAATCCTTAATGATCCAACCACAACAAGTCGATTAGAGGTAGATTAGCGCAAAGATGTGTTCAGGAGCTTGACATGCCTTCGCGGCTGTGGTTCTGCAGTTGTGCTGCTTCAGCTTCTTCTTCATTGCTGCTACCTCGGGAATTCTCAGGCAATGAGACAGATCGCATGGCATTGATCCAGTTCAAAGCCATTGATTTCTGGGGACCCTTTGGGGGTCTTGAGCTTGTGGAATGATTCCAATCACTTATGTCAGTGGCGCGGCATTACTTGCTCCACAAGACACCAGAGGGTCGCGGTTCTAAACCTGAAGTCTCAGCAGCTCTCTGGCTCCATTTCAGCACACATTGGCAATCTCAGCTTCCTCATGGAGCCGAATCTCATCAACAACAAGCTTCAGTAACGGGATCCCGCCTGAAATTGGCTGCCTTCACAGACTGCAGCGGCTGTTGATCTTTAACAACTCTTTAAGTGACGAGATTCCATCCACCATATCGAGATGCACGACTCTCACTGTATTTCATGCAGCAAACAACAAGCTGGTGAGGGGGTTACCATGGCAGATTGGCTCCTTGAACAAGCTCCAACAACTTGTTGTGCCAGCAAACGGTCTGACGGGAAGCATCCCTCCCTCTATAGGAAACTTGTCATCCCTCCCTCTATAGGAAACTTGTCATCTCTAGTGGGAAGCAACAATTTCAGTGGAAGAGTACCTGATGCTCTCGGCCGATTGAAAAGTCTTCATGTTCTGTCTCTGGAGATAAACAACTTATCCGGTAGAATCCTTGATTCTATTTTCAATTTGTCGTCTCTCACAGATTTTTACTTTGGAATGAACCAACTCCATGGCAATCTTCCTTGCAATATTGCTTCCGAACCTTAAGGGCTTAGATGTGGCTTTCAACGAGTTCACGGGTAGCATTCCAGTTTCCTTATCCAATGCATCCAATTTGGTTTTTCTTGAACTGCAAGTCAACAATTTTATCCGTAGCGTGCCTAGCATGGCAAACTCTCGCAACCTTATGCGCTTTCTGATCTACAACAACTCTCTTGGAAGTGGGAAGCCCAATGATTTGAGCTTCATATCTTCTTTGACCAATTCCAGCAGTTTGGAAGTGATGTCCATTGCCGACAATCACGTTGGAGATAGCTTACCAGATGATATTGGCAACTTGTCAACCAGGCTTAAGATTTTGGCCCTGAGTTCCAATAAAATATCAGGAAAACATCCCAAGCGGAATACAGATCAGCTTGCAGAGGTTCGAGGCATCTCAGAACAATCTATCCAGGTACAGTTCCTTCCATCAATCGGGAACATGCAGACTCTAGAGTGGTTGGATTTGGGTAGCAATAGCATCTCAGGATTGGTCCACTGTCCATTGGAAACTTGACCAGATTAAATAGATTGAGGATTAGCAAGTAACCATCTGCAGGGAGAAATTCCTGCAGCTATTGAAAATTGCAAAATGCTAATAGCTTTGGACCTTTCTGACAATACTCTGAGTGATGTAATCCCCCCACAAATCATGGGTCCTTTCTTCCTTGTCAATTCTCTTAAACTTGCCTCAGGAATCATTTCACCGGCGTCCTTCCCTTCGAAGTGGGCAGCCTGACAAATTTGGAAACTTTAGATCTGTCTCACATGTTATCAGGAAGCATACCAGGGTAGTCTGGGTAGTTGTGTCACACTGGAGTTGCTCAATCTGCAAGACTAATCTCATACAGAGGCCCCTTCCTTCTTCTTTGAGTTCACTTAGAGGTATTAGGATATTAGATTTATCAGGTAACAACTTATCCGGGCCAAGTCCAAAAATTTGGAGGACTATGACCCTACTCCAACTTCTGAATATGTCGAGTAACAAGTTTTGAGGGCCAAGTGCCAGAAGGCGGAGTTTTCAAGAGTAGCAACGTCGTTTCAGTCGCAGGTAACAGCAAGCTTTGTGGGGGTATTGCTGAACTTCATCTTCCAGCTTGCAACTTCAATCAACCGGGAAGGAGATTTGAGCCATAAATGGAAGATTCTCATATCAACAATCTCCAGTCTTCTTCTTGTGTCCTTCACGGCGACTTGCTTGCTTCTATGCCTAATGAGGAAGAGAATAAAAGAACAAGTAGATTCTTTCACAAGTGATTAGCCTTTGCAACCCTTCTTATCAAAGGCTCCACAAAAGCAACAAATGGCTTTTCCTCGGCAAACTTGATTGGCATAGGAAGCTTTGGCTTCTGTGTACAAGGGAGTCATTGATGAAAGTGGAACAACCGTTGCTGTAGAAGTGTTCAAACTTGAGCGCCAGGGGGCTTCCAAGAGTTTCGTTGCTGAATGTGAAGCTCTAAAGAATGCTAGACACAGGAATCTTGGGAAGATAGTAACAGCTTGTCCAAGCATGGATTATCATGGGAATGATTTCAAAGCTCTCATTTATGAGTTCTTTGCTAATGGGAAGCCTGGAAGAATGGCTCCATCATCCAGTACAGAGAAGTGATGACCTTCCAAGAAGCTTGAGTTTCCTCGAAATACTAAATATCGCGACTGATGTAGCTTCAGCACTTGACTATCTCCACCACCAATGCCAAATGCCCATAGTTCATTGCGATCTCAAGCCGAGCAATGTTCTTCTTGACGAATGAGATGACAGGACATGTGGGTGATTTCGGGCTACCAAGATTCCTTCCATCACTTGACAAACACTCTTTTGCAAGGCAGTCTAGCTCGGTTGGAGTGAGGGGAACTGTTGGCTATGCTCCTCCAGGTATAAATTTCCCTGGTACCTGATAACAGTTTCTCCCTTTATATTCGATCGCCAAAACAATAAAATTTCCTCCCTTCATTGCCACCTCTGACATTTTTTCCTTATTGTTACTGCAGAATATGGTATGGGAAATTTAGTTTCAAAGTCAGGTGATGTGTATAGCACTATAGCTACAGCATCCTCCTGCTCGAGATGTTGCACCGGAAAGAGGCCAACTGATGAGAGCTTGGGAGCAGGTTTGAACCTCCACAACTTTGTCAGATCTGCTTTACTAGAAACTTCAGCAGCAAATGTAGTTGATCCATGCTCTATTTGATGAACTACTTCCCGGAGAGACGAGCAATGGCTCAGAGAACATTCAAGAGAGAAAAATCTGATGAGCTTTTAATCTCAATCTTTGAAGTTGGTGTGGCTTGTTCATCAGATTTCCCACAAGAGAGACTCAGGCATTAGTGAAGCTGCATCAAAGCTTGTTTCTGTCAGGAACAAACGTCTAGGATCGGTCATACCCGAGGGTCAAAATGAAAAGAAAGTCCCTGTATGTAGCTGAATGATTGTCTTGCAGTTACCGTCTGTTGTAATCAGGAACTTAAACTGGTACTTTACTTTCAAATATAGCTTAGTTATGCTTACCAGCTTGAAAAGCTACTTTTGGCCACATCAGTCGACCAGCTTCACCACGAGTCTTCTGCATACAACCTGCAGCAACAAACGAGTTCCAAGAGCTCGCTGATATCTAATCTGCCAAATTACTGAATTGCTGAAGGAAAACACTTAAAAAGTATTTTGGAATTACTGAATCGCTGATATCTAATCAACCTCTTTGTTGGTATTTGATTTTTAGCGTACTGACTCATCTTTCTTTCGCTCAGTGGTCGAATCGGAAAACAATACAAATATCTCACTCTCTGTCGAAGAGGACGGAAGTGGCATAAGGATCGATGGAACCAGATACTATGTTCTTCTGTCTTTTGCCTATGTTAAATAGTAATACTAAACTTACTCTATCTATTATGTGTCTCGAATTCAAGATTAAAGAAACAGCAGATGCAGTGCTTCCATTTTATTAAAGAAAAAAGAATGGGTCAATGGGACAAGAATAAAAGCAAGGATCACAAGTATAGCTCAAAGGGAACTGATTTTGGAACATAGAATATCAATAAAGTAGATGCAGAAGGAAAAAGAACTGATACCTGAAGCAATGTAAGTAACCAAGGGTTCCCAGAAAGATTGCGAAAGAATTGTGATCTGATGTCCCCAGACCCGGAGGGCCAAAGCCACTGAATGAGCAACCATGTCAGCATCCAAAATAACACCATACCAGGATTGAGACAACCATACCAAGATTTGATAAAAAGAAGCGATGGAGAGAGCATAAACACACATACTGAATATTGTGCTCCTCTGCTTTAAAGGTTCAGGTGCATCAAGGGATGAAGGCACAATGGAAATGAGGTAGAAGTGCTTAATCAGGCTTGGGGTTTAAGTAGCAGTGAGAATCTGGATTGAAACCAGTCTTGCTCGTAGCTAGCTGGGGGCTTGGGAGCAATCGCATGACAGAGTGCTGAATCTTCTTTTTTTTTTTTTTTTTCCAATTCCCTCTTAAAGTGAAATCAGTTCCAGTGAAGTGTGCATTGATAATATAGCTGCCAGTTAAGTGGAATGGAAAACACTATCCCATGACCTATTTCCCTATACTGGTCAGCTCAGCCACAGTTTAAACAGAAAGTAAAGGCGACAATAGCTAATAAATTACTGCCACCAAGTAGACTCAGGAAACGAAGGGGGCATCCACAGCATTCATGGCTGTTTTTTCCAGATTTCTTGTACGTTACGGGAGAAAAACATAAAAGCATACAGTACTATGTAACAGAAATCAGCAGGCAGGTTTTCAGAACTTCGTCATTAGCCTCACCCTGAAACATGGATTTGTGCAATTTCGGTCGACGGTTTGATGAAGCAATCGTGGCTTTGATGCCACCAAGCTCCATGACCACGTCTTTGATTTTCATTCGATCGCCTGGCAACTCAGCAGAACACTTGACTCCAATCTGAATTAGAGATACCAAACAACTCAATCTGTACTTGTTAATGTGCCTCTCTTCGTAAGATTCTTCAAACAAGAATGGATCTGCAATGCCCTGGATATCATCAGGCAATGCCATCTTGCAATACTTGTGAAGGCTGAAACTGTCGATGAACATCTCATCTGTCGGCTTCTTCCCTGTAACCATCTCCAACAAAAGAACGCCGTAGCTGTAGATATCTCCTTCTGGGGTAACAGAGCTGCCCAATCCGTATTCTGAATAGAGATTGCAGAATTCAAAATTAATACCATTTCGGAGAAATTGAAGTTCTTTATGGGTTTGTCTGTTAGCTTTTTCCCAGATCAAAGTATTTTCTTTCCTTGAGTTGTAGTAAAAGTGGAGAACAATTGTGGTTGGCAGGGTGTAGAAAATTGTGAGTTGAAAGGATATAAAATATCTTTTTAGTAATTAGGTAATTGATAGTAACAAACACAGCCATAGTAATTTGTTCTATCGTAACAGTATAGAAAGAACAGTTGACAAGATCTGTACCTGGTGCAACATAACCGATGGTTCCGCTAACCACTGATGACGATATGGAATCCATACCACCATCCCCTGGGAAGAGTTTGGCCAAGCCAAAGTCACTAACATGAGCAACCAAGTCATCATCGAGAAGAACATTGCCTGGCTTGAGGTCACAATGAACAATAGGAGTCTCACAATCATGGTGAAGGTACTCCAATGCATGGGCCACATCAATTGCTATGTCCAACCTTCGGGAAAGATTCAGACATCCCGACTTACCATCATCCCCATTTTCATGCAAAGGATTATGCAACCAGCTCTCCAAGCTCCCCTTAGGCATCAACTGAAGCACAAAAGCTTTGAAATCATTCCCATTGTTGTCTATGCTTGAACAAGCAGTTACTAACTTGACAAGATTCCTGTGTCTAACTGTTCTTAAAGCCTCACATTCAGCTGTGAAACTTCTCGACGCTCCATGCTGCTGAAGGTTCATTACTTTTACAGCAACTGACACGTCGTCTTCACTGAGAAATCCTCTATACACGCAACCAAACTGGCCTGTGCCAATCAAGTTACAGTGGGCAAACCCATCAGTGGCATCAAAAAGTTCTCTATAAGACACCATTGAAAACTTGCTTGCCCCAAAAGGTTGAGACAAATCCGCTTTCTGATTTTTGTTCCTCTGACGACTGAAAATGATATCAATAATGGCGATCAGCACTATGCAGAGAGTGCAACTTACTGTTACAGCTACAATCCATTTCAGGGGAAGTTTGAGCTTCTTCGCCACCTTTATGTTTCTATTAGCACATGCTGGAAGATCCAACAATAGGATGCCACCACAAAGTCCTCTGTTTCCTGCAATTGAAAATGCAGTGGCATTCGCAAACACTCCTTTCCTTGGAACTTGCCCTCTAACTGGTTGAATGACAGATTCAAGTGCTCCATGAACTGAAGCCCCTGCAGTTCTTCCGGAATGCTGCTTGACAAATTGTTGCGAGAGAGGTTTAGAAACCGGATTCCTTTCAAGTTGCTGAGAGATGTAGGTAAGCTTCCATGGAAATAGTTTCCTGACAAGTCAACGTAGTCCAAATTCAGGCAGCTTCCAAGTGTTACAGGAATAGCACCACTCAACTTGTTGTCACTTGCGATCAAAGTGTCCAAGTTTCCCAAGTTCCCCTACATCGGAAGGGAGGGAGCCAGTCAATGAATTTGCATCCAGCCGCAGAGCGATCAATTCACGCAGTTGACCTAAGAAATTAGCAGGTATCCTGCCACTCAGCTGGTTTCTAGACAAATAGAGATACTGCATCGAGGTGCAGTTGGCTAGGGAGAGAGGAATTTCTCCATGACAAATTGTTGCGGTTCAGATTCACAGTGAACAGAAGTGTACAGGTTACCTAGACAGGATGGTACTGAACCTGATAACTGATTAGATTGTAAACCCAATTGACCCAAGTTCTTAAGATTGCAAATGGAACTGGGGATTCGACCAGAGAGAGAATTATTCTCGACAGCAAAAATAGTCAAGCTGACAAGGTCACCAATTGCTTCTGGGATTCCACCGTATATATCATTACTCCCTAGAGTAACCCATGTCAGGCTTGAAAGGTTGACTATGGAGCTAGGAAACATACCACTGAACCTATTACCTGCCAAACTCAAAGCATCAAGTTTGGTAGCATTTGAGAAAGAACTCAAGAAACTGAAGTCATCTGCCCCACCACCCAACCAGTTATCTTCGACATTCAACAAGTTCAGATTTTGAAGCACTCCCAAGTTATCAGGTAATCCCCCTGTCAGAAAATTACTACCAGCATGAAAATTCTCTAGACTTGACATGTTGATGAGAGTAGGAGGTAATGCTCCAGAAAATTGGCAATATCCCACCGAAATCCACCAGAGTTTTGGAAAACATAAGCCCAAGTTGGACAAAAGTTGCCCAGAGAAACTGTTGAACGAAACTGAAAGTACCTCAAGGGAAGACAGATTACAAATGGATGATGGAAGTGTTCCAGAGAGCCGATTTTGAAAAAGAGAAAGAGTGGACAGGTCCTTAAGCTCACTGAGGTCTGGAATGCTGCCCCAAAGATTGTTGCTGAAAACCGACAAACCCACAAGAGACGAGAGATTCCCAATGGATTGCGGTATAACCCCTGTAATATTGTTGTTACTGATTACTAGTCGACTGAGCTTGGACAGGTACCCAAACTGCGACGGCAAGCCACCCACAAAATTATTGTACGATAAAGAGATGCTTTCGAGGTTGGAGCAATTTGTCAGCTCAACAGGAATTTCACCAGTGAGAGAATTCTTGGTCAAATTGAGAACCTGAATCCTGGAAAGCCGACCAATCTCTTTGGGGAGTGTACCTTTCAGGTTGTTGCCCGCAAGTTGAATTTCTGAGAGATATGACAGGTTCCCAATGGAAGGAGAAATTGATCCGCCCAAAGCAAGACTATCCAGCCACAGAGCAGTGACCCTCCCATCCCCACTGCCGCACACAACTCCAGGCCATTGACAAAAATGAAGAGACAGATTCCATGAACTCAAGGTTCCATATGGTCCATCAACCAAACCAGCCTTCAAGTCAAGCAAAGCAAGTCGATCAGTCACATTGCTGACAACTTCAACACCTGAAACAGAATTTTGTGAGGATAGACTGATGCACAGTATCCAGAGCTTGAAAGAAACAAGTGGTAGCTGCCATATCCCCATTTCCAACACAATGAAGCTCAACTCCTCAACAAATGAACCGCACAAATTGCATTTCGCAAACATGTATAGTGCCTAAAGTAAAGTGAACAGAAACAAGTGGCTCTCTGAGGAAAGTAGAAGACCAGAAGATGGAAAGTACCCTTTACTTAAGAACAGCTCGGATCCAAACAAAGCTGCCGCCTTTCCCATCAGAATGTATATTTGAGGCAATTTGCAAATTGATGATTAAGATTAAAAAAAAATGTTTGATGGTTAAGCTATCAAAGATCGGATTATACTAACCAATGAACTTGAAACTTCAATTGGGTGCATCACCGCCATGACCTCTTATTCCCTTATACGTGTCTGAACTTCCTTGCAATGTTTGGCTTCTTCCTCTTGGGAACGAACCTGCCTACAGAAGGACAAAAGGCAAGGAGCCGATTAGAAAGTGACCATTGTCTCTCAGTCACAAGCCCCAAATTAAGCGCCTGCCTGAGAGTGAAGTTTCATATTGTAAGAACAGCACAACATTAAAAGAATCTGGAGGCCGGCTCCATTATAATAATCCTTTAAACCCAACAGATGAAGTTCAAAGAGATGGCATGGGGCTTTGGCATTATCTAGACCTACAAGGGAGGATTCGATTGGCCGTGTTAGAAGGAATATTAGTACTATTTACTTGATAAGCAGCAGAAGAAATTACCGCCTGGAAATCGCGGAGGCGAGGGAGACATGCCTGAGGCAAGGATGAAGCGGGATGCTTCTCTGGGAGATCGACAATGGGAGGATGATAGAGAGGGAAGATAACTCCCACCGATAATTCCCCCATGAATTCTCGCCGTAGAGTTTCAGCGCCTTCTGCATCCTAACTTCCCGGTAACCGGCTTGCTGCCCTGCTGATTTCCCGTCGCCTTCGCCGTCGCCCTGGACCCGCCGGCCTTCGATATGCTTAGAAATGCGGCAACGGTGAATTTGAACGAATAATGGGCGTGCAGGTCTAAGTCCGCCTGGATCTACTGGAGCAGTTTGTTTTATTTCATGGCCGGCCCAACAGTGGCAAGCCTAAGCCTATCAGGATCTATTGGAGTAATTTGTTTTGATTATGGGTCGGCCAGCAACTCATTGAAAGGCAGAGTTGACGGTGACGGCAGCCCAAGTATTCGACTAACCATTTTATCATTGGACATTCTTTTACTACTAGTATGACTTTTTTTCACTGATTATCGAGGAAAATTTCCACACAAATCACTTAAATAATGGCGGAGCGAGATTAAATCTGGGGTCCATTTAACTGAGCTCTTTAGATCTTCTACAAATATCTTCATTAAATGCCTAAGAGAACACCATTGCGAGTCTCTATAAGGTAGAACCAAGGTTCAAAAAGGCGCTAGGCGTAAGGCGAGCGTTGAGCATTTGCCTAGCGCCTAGCTCGCTTAGGCGTAGACTAAGCGTTGGAAGAAAAATAGCTATTTGCACCAAATGATGAATGAAATAATAATCTACAACACTTTCTAATTTCATTTTAAATTATTAATAACTTACGTAAAACTGAATGTCAATAACATAGCTCACGAATTCATAGAATCATAGCCCAATAGCTCACAAAGTTCTTAAACTATTGAAAATATTGATATAGAAAATTGATTTCGTAGTTTATGTTAATTTTCTCCTTTGATATTGACTTCCTAGCTCCATCTAGTAATGTTTAGGAGAGACTTTTATGTCGCCTTGCTCCATTAACGTGTTCTAGTATCTAATTAGGCGCAAAACCACTAGGCGGGGCGTTTTGCTATTGCCTTGCGCCCAGGAGCGGAGATAGGTGAGCTCTCGAGCCCCCCCCCCCCCCCCCAGAATTTTGAAACCTACGTATAATTTTGTCCGAAGTTTGGAGAATCACGTATAAATTGTACGTAATGATAAATTGATATGTGAGCAAAAATGAGACATCAGTACATATTTAGTCAAGCGGAGCAAATTCAACATTTCTTATCCATGGACCAGGGTTCGATCCATGCTGGGAGTAATTGTTTTGTACATTGGTTTTTCCCTTTTTTTTTGTAGAAAGGTAGACGCATTGCGTCTAGTTTACATTAAAATTACGATCATGGGAAGTCCCCAAAACATCATGGCTGAGCCATTGAACAAGGTCTCTATCGCACACATTGAAGCGATGTGTGCCAAAATCGAAATCGTGAGCCTTGCTGGCCAAGTAATCGGCCGCAAAATTCGCTTCCCTAAACACATGGGAAACACAAACTTCCCAATCAAGACTAAAAAATAAATCAAACTGCTTAGCTATGCTTCCATGTCGATGATCATCTCTATCACATTGTTTGATGATATCAACTGCTGTAGTAGAATCAAGCTTAAGCTCAATCTTTCGCTAACCTTCCTTCCAAGCAATTTTGAGGCCTTCCAAGGCACCTTTGAGTTCTGCAGCCATGATAGAGCATGAACCCAGGTTGCAGACATAAGCCCCTTTGCATCTTCCCAAGTAGTCTCTGAAGAGACCCCTACTACTGCTTTCCCTATCTGAGTGATGACTGATCCATCTGACTGAATTTGGATCCAACCTTCTCTGGGGGGTTCCCAGCAAACCAATCTGCTCTGGACAGTAGCAGATTTAGAACAAGTGGTCTTCTTCACGTTACGTTTAGCTTGTTCAACAATGTAGAACCACGCTTGAATTCTATCAATTAAGCCGTCTTTGGAGGAGTTTTTTCCTTCCATCACCTCCTCATTTCGTTGTTTCCATAGAAGCCAGACAATGATGCCAAAGTCAGTCCCTGTCCCTTGCTGCCTAATATTATCCATCAACCAATCGTGCAGGGGGAGGTCCATGCTGTTGGCCACACATTTGCCATTAAACTTATCCCACATACTCTTAGCTTTACTGATACGAGCTCAGTTGTGCTCGTTAGGAATCAATACGTGCAACTCGACTCTCCTCCAATGAAGCTTGAATTTCAACAACTTAAAACGAAAATAAAATGGACCAAAGGTGCAACTTCACACTTGGGAAGAGGCTCGATTGGTTTAAGTCGAAGCTTGGCCACGATTGATGTGGTTTCAATCGATACGAAGCAAACTTGCTGCTGGGACGCAACCAACACACAAGTATTTGGTGACAATGGTCACAACCTTTCATTCAATCCCAAAACTGCCTTTTACACGAGGTTCTCAAGCTTTAAATAGACAAACACAACCTAATTTGAACTCTAAACAAACAAGGAAAACAAATCAGAATTCTAACTTGACAAGGAAACAAAAATCCTCTCTTAAAAGGGCCACAAAACACACACGCCCCCCCCCCCCCCCCGGCTTCCTGCGCAAGTAATCCATACAGCTCCCATAGCGACTTTGGAGCTCTCGATAATGGGCTTCCAAGAAGGTTCGACGAGAACAGCCTTCAGTCGTTTGTTCTCTGGGTCTCGTAGTTCAATTCCCAACTCACCTCGTCCCTCGACAATGCCCCATCGGAATTGAATAAGCCTCCAAAGTCGGGTCCTTGAACTGGTTCCAGACTTAGCCAAAAATAAGGCAATTAACAGTTTGATGCTAACAACTTGAGGCCTCTTAATCAACCCTCTTTGGCTCTTAATTCGCGCAACCAAGCCTTCAACGTGGTCTATAAGCACTTGATCTCTCATTACCACCCTTCCTCTTGCAATTCCATCAACCGAGAGATAAGATACGAACCTGCAAAGCAAGCACCACGAAACAAGTTGAACACTCAAATACGACCCTTCTTCCTTCCAACGTTGGTGGGTTGTTCGGAGATCAATTCGAGCTTGGACACGAGGCTAGATGGAATCACATCATTTACTGCAGCTTCTGAGGATGTGCTCGATGGTTTCATCATGGTCTTTGCAGAAGTTGCATTGACTGTTGGTGGAGATTTTTCTTCTGGTTCTTTCCTTGTTTGTGAGTAACCTGCCGTGAACAACAAGCCACAAGAAGTGCTTAATTCTGTTTGGGCCCTTCCATTGCCAGAGGTCTTTCCAGCAGCTTCCAGGTTCATCTTCCTCTTCTCCAGCAACCATGTTGTATGCTGATCTCAGTCTGAAACGACCATCCTTTTCCAGTCCCCAAATGTTCACATCTTCACCAAGGTTGGGGTTTGGTGGCTCAATACCTGCAATAGCCACAAGCATTTCATCAGGTAACATAGGTTTGAGTCTGTCCCAATCCCACTCACCATCTTGAGTAATCCAATCAGCCACCACTGAGGTTCTGTCATCCTCAGTAATGTCCCCAATGGAAAACTCCTCGAGGATAATGTCATTGTCCACCCATGGCTGAGTCCAGAAGTTGGTGGTCTAGCCATTTCTAACACTCCAACAAGTGGCCTGCTTCATGATGTTCATTGCTTTAACCATGACCTTCCACAAATTAGAGTGGTTGCTCTTCTTCATGGATAAGATCTCCCCATTGTTGTGCTTAAAGTATTTTCCCTGTAAAACTTGAACCCACAAGTCAGACTCCTTATTGAGCATATTCCAACCAATTTTAATCATAAAAGCCATGTTCATATTTCTAGCAGATTTCAGGCCTAAACCACCAAGATCCTTAGGCTTACAGATGGTTTCCCAAGAGACCAGGTGAGTTTTCCTTTTACCTTCCCTAGAACCTCACACAAAACTCCTAACTCTTTTGTCAATAAGATCATAGATAGAGGCATGGAGAAATGTGGTTTGCATAGCATAGGTGGGGAGGGCATTAAGAACTGAGGTGGCCAGGGTAACTCTGCCAGCCAAAGACAAAGTGCTAGCTTTCCAGTTAGTTAGCTTTTGGTCAATTCTGTCAATGATGTACTTGTAGGTTGCTTTGGTGATTCGACCATGTAGGACAGGAACACCAAGGTATCTTCCCAGATCCTTGGTGTCCTGAATCCCCAGCCTCCTGCAAGTTTCAGTTCTGTTCTGGTTCTTGACATTCCTGGAGAAGAACACTCTGGATTTCTCTTTACTGACAGCTTCACCTGATGCTTGGCAGAAGCAATCCAAGCACTGGAGCACAACATCAGCTTGTTGAGGGTTAGCTTCAGCAAATAGCACAAGATCGTCAGCAAAAAATAGGTGGGAGAGGGCAGGCCCTCCTGGAGACAACCTAATAGGGTTCCATTTCCCATTTTTAACTTCAATATCAATACAGTGACTCAATCTTTCAATGCAAAGGGTAAAAAGATAGGGAGAGAGGGGGCATCCCTGTCTTAAGCCTCTGGAGGGCTTGAAACTTTCAGTTTCACCTCCATTCCACAGAACCTGGTAGCTAGTAGTAGTCACACATTTCATAATCAGGTTGATAGTGCTGGCAGGAATCCTAGCAGTATTGAAGGTTTCCTCCAAGAAGTCCCACTCAATCCTGTCATAGGCTTTGGCTAAGTCGATTTTCAAAACCATAAAGCCCTTCTTTCCACTTTTCCTTGCCGTTGAATGAATGGTTTCCTGCAAGATAATGATATTATTAGTAATGTGGTGCTTGGGAATGAAACTGGATTGGTTCTTATTCACAAGCATAGACATTAAGGGTTTCAGTTTATTAGCAATCATTTTGTAGCCAACATTGAATAAACTAATTGGCCTAAACTGACTCATCGAGGAGGGGTAATCAATTTTAGGAATCAGAGTGAAGAGGGTCTCGTTAATGCATTGAATTCTATCTGGGTTCCTAAAACAGGAGGAAATGAAAGCACAGAAATCATTGCCCACAGCATTCCAACATTTCTGGTAGAAGATGGCATGAAAGCCATCTTTGCTAGGAGCTTTGAGTCCATTCATCTCCATAACCACCCCTCTGATCTCCTCAATCCTAGGTAGGGTACACAGGCTGGTCACAAAACAAGCATATAACTCAGGAAAGCAAGCAGGTATTCTACATCCAGGGGCAGAAATATTCTTAGTAAAGAGGTTGAGAAAATACTCCCTGGCCATGAAGAGCAAAGTGTCAGCATCAGCAACCCATTGGCCTTGTTCATCACACAGGCAAGTGATCTTGTTCCTCTTTCTTCTACTGAGAGTGCTGGTATGGAAGTAGTGAGTGTTCAGATCACCAAAAACAATCCAATTGGATCTGGATTTCTGGATCCAAATCATCACTTCTTGCCATAGAGTTTCCTCCAGCTCCTCCCTGGTTTGTCTTTCCTTTTCCCTGGATCTGACGGAGGCACTTCTCACGTTGATCATTTCAAGGGACTTCAGTTCAGACAACAATTTCTTCTTCCTTTGGAATATGTTACCATAGACTTCCTTGTTCCATTTTTGTAGATCTTCCGAGAGATGATGAAGAGAATGGAGAAAGTCTCCTCCAATGTTCCAGGAAGAGGACAAAAATGAAGGGAAATCCTCATGAGCAAGCCAGGAGGCCAGGAACTGGGACCTTCTTGTTAGTTTCTGGTGAACATTTTGGTTAGAGGTGCATGTCATGATTGGCCTGTGGTCAGACTTGGTTTTTCCCTTAGTCTATACATTTTCGTTCAAAAAAATTGCTCCCCATTGATTAGAACTCTTGAGTCACTGAGAAGTACATTACCTTATTGTTTTCATATTTTTTGTTTACATTTATCAAAGAGTAATTAAATTTTTATATTTTTTTATAAGTATACTCATTTTACAGGTACCAATTTAGTTCTAAATTTTGAATTCATATAAATTTTCTAGGTTATATTAATTGTCTTCAAACATTAATATATACATGACTGTTTTCAGATTTTTTGTTTACATTTATCAAAGAGTAATTAAATTTTTATATTTTCTTATAAGTATACTCATTTTACAGGTACCAATTTAGTTCTAAATTTTGAATTCATATAAATTTTATAGGTTATATTAATTGTCTTCAAACATTAATATATACATGAATTTTTTCAGATATAAAGATAATTAAATCACTTGTTTGGAACATAATAGCGTACAATTTTTTTTCCATATAATGTAATAACTTGTTCACATAATTGACCTTTCTTCGATAGTAAAAAAAGAAAAATCCGCCCCCCCCCCCCCCACCTCAATTCCAAGCTCCGCCCCTGCTTGCGCTTAGGTGTGCCTAAGCGTAAGGTTAGGCGTGCCTTTTTAAACCATGGATAAACACAGGATTTATCACTTTCCATAACGAGCGTCCACTAAAAATTTCACCGCTAAACTACATGAATTTTGGCATATACTACTGGTATGACTTGTCAAATACTCAGTAGTGACTTTTGAGTAGGGGCAATTAAAATAAAAACCCTTCTCGATGGAATATATAAAATTATTTCATTTTCAATGGATTTATCACATGGCCTACAGACACATTTCATTTTCATAAATTACTTAAATTAGAGAAAAATAAATAAATTAAAGGAGAAATTGTCACAACCACCATATAGCTACGACTACGAGCCGGTAAACATGTGATTGATCCAGTTGACAGGATTGACTCTCAAGTCTCAACTTGATCTTGCCAAGTGGGAAGAAAATCACAACAATAATTAGTAAGGAGGGTCAAAGACTATCAACCCTTTAAACTAATGTGAAAATTTGACTTCGTGTTAATAAGGAGGCTGAAATAATTATCATTTACCGGGTGTTTTTAATGTTCGATGAATATATACAACATATTAATATTTTCATTTGAACGAAAGTCACTCGTACAGGTTTGAAGTTTGAATACATTCGAAATATCAACTAAATGAGTCGTTGGAATTCGAACAGAATACCTCCCGATCAAAGAAGGAAATGATGTCATGTCGAAAACCAGCTAATTTAAATAACTCAAATTGTTAGAAATAATAGAGCTCATACCACGTAATAACATTATCCACCCTAAATTAACTGAACTGCCTTGAGGGCAATCCCTTCCATGATCAAGATGTACGCTTAAAAGCTAAAACCACCAATCAAAGGAAAAGAATGTTCTATTTTTACATTTGGGATTTGAGAAACTAACCACTAACTCGACTAATATGACACCCAAGTCGAACAACGATCAAGTGAACTAAAATTGAGCTCCGACGGTAAACATTCAATAATAGATTTTATACAACATATTAACATGTTCATTCATACAGTCACTCATACAAATTTGAAGTTGAATATATTCGAGATATCAAATAAATTTATAGCCGAAATTCGAACAGAGCACCTCCTGATAAAAGAAAGGCACTAATGTCGTGTCGAAAACCAACTCATTTCAATAACTGAAATTGATAGAAGAGGTACTAACATTATCCATTCTAAATTAACTGAACTGCCTTGAGGACAATCCCTTCCACGATCAAGATGTACACTTAAAACCACTAATCAAATGAAAAGATTGTTCTATTTTTATATATGGATTTGAGAAACTAGCTACTTACTCGACTAATACGATAACTAAGTCAAACCGAACCAAACCGACAACGATCAAGTGAACTAAAATTGAGCTCCTACGGTAAACATTCAACGTGGGGATTTCAAAGCCTCCACCTGGGACTTGCCACAGGGGCCCTTGGTTCTTATGTATAACCGGTATTGGTCAAAGGTCATGGGTGGATACAATGCTGGCCTCTCTTTGGTTACAAGTTCATTCACCGGCCGGATTGGAATGTCACTCTTTGGGTTGTAGAAGAAAGCCAAAGACACTCTCTCCTTTGCTGAGTTCACAATCACCCTGTGCTCCACGCTTCGGTAAATCGCATTGCTTAATACCTGATCACCATTAAAAAAAAAAAAAAATTTGACCACCATAGTATATGGAAAAATAGCTTTAGTCATCGATAAAGGTGACAAATGATAATTCAATTTAACGTTCAATTTAATCAACCCACTAATGATTCACCTAATTCAATTCCATTTTGAACAAAATCCCATAGATGGGTTAATTGTTTTGGATTAATGGATTTAACCGGTGATGCAGTTTCGAATAATATATAGTATATAGTATCTAATAAATTGATCAAAACTCAAAAGTGGTGAGGTAATGCATAGCTAGAACTAGCACATCCGTAATGGCTTGACAAGTCAAAATTAGTACACGAGTGATGACTTGAGCAAAAAGTAATAGTGTTTTCTAATAATTATATATTATTATCTAGAAAACAGTTTTCCACACGTGCTGAAAATACATAAGAGGATCTGCTTTTCCCCCTCTCTTGTAAAAGTAGTGGCCAACAAAGATTGTGGACCAAACTATTCAGTTTCTAGTGAATGAAAAATCACATCATGGCACTAAAAGCTGAAAACGTGGGCTAGCTTACTTGTTGGATTTGGTTAATGGATTTATAACTAAATTATAAGTTTGATGAATTTTATTCAAGTTTATTACTTGTTTATGGGTGTCAAGTTGGGGTAGTCTAAGGATTTGATCCTTTTTTATTCAAATTTGTGAACTTCACATATTTGTAAATCTCATATATTGTATTGGTATCCATAAAATCTTTGATAATAATTTATATCTATAACAAATTCATCATAAATATATCATCAAATCTACAATATAAACAATGAACTCTTCAAATTATACTAAAAATTTATAGCTTTTTCCCTTCAAAATACTCATTTTTTAAATCAAACAAGCAAACAACCCTGTACTACAACCACGGTAGAGTACTCGTGATCTACTAAATAAACATATAAACCAAAGTGGGGATAAGGGAGCAACGACACACATAATTAATATATAACATATCATTTCCATAACTCCACATCTCTTTAAATAAAAATCAATCTCTTGTTATCAAGACGGCATATGTTTTTCTATCGTGTTCTCAAGTCAATCATTTATATCAATAGTTTTAAAAAAAATGCCGTTAAAATATTTCTCTATAAAATAAGTTGACGCCTCTCCATATACAAATACTGTACCATTTTCTTAAACAATGAATAGTTTATTATACTTTAATTTTCTTAAAATTTTACTGTCCATTAATTTAAGGGTTATCTAATATTAGTGGGAAGCAAGTTCAATCAAAAACCTAAACTTGTCTGGTAGGTCTCAAACACGATGGACATTTATGTTCACGCATCCTTCCCTTCAATCTAACACCTATGAATTCGACAGACAAGCTTTCATACGACACCGTTGCGATGTAGACAAACAAAACTTAACTAGTCCATATCCAAACGTGGCCCAGACCCACGTGCACCATGTTCTCCATAACAAACCCCTGGTCCCGAATGTAGACAATTCAAAGAAAAGTGCGGTTTTTAACCGTTTAAAGTAAAAGGTCTTACAAAATTCCTCTAGTTAATTACCTGGATTTGATCGCCGATATTGACGATAAACGCATGCTCGGCCGGCTTCACCGTGATCCAGTCATCGCCTCGCCGGACCTGGAGCCCCGGCACCTGGTGGTCCGGCAATAAAATGGTCAGCCCGCCAGGGTCCGAGTGCGACGACAGGCCGAGTGTCAGGTCCGGCTGCGGACATTTCGGGTAGAAGTTCACTCTCAGGCACGCTCCAATGTTTGTTCCTCCAAATGCGTCTTGGAGACGTTCTTCTTCTAGTCCCAAGTTGGCCGATAATATCCTCATTAACCTCCCGCAAAACTCCACCACTTGTTTCCCGTACTCGTCAATCACTTCCCTGGAAAAGAGTCCAAATTCGAAGGATAAGTATGTGGCTCGTAATAATGGTATGAATGCAACAAAAAGACAACGTACAAAGCGAATAAAGAATCTTATGTTACATCTTATCCAGAAAAAATAAAATAAATATCTAGGTATAAAATCACCATGCAATGCAATTAATTCAATTAATATCCAATAGAACTGATTTTTTATATCGACTGGCATCATCGAGCTAAAAAGATTTCGATTGTCGAATATCCACGTTATAAATTTCTTTGTAAGGAGTCATCGGGATGAATCAATTAAAAAACGTGACAATTTGATCAATTGTGGCATTTTAGAAATCAAGTCAATTCGAATTACCTTCTCGGCCCATAGACAATTGGAATTGACTCATAACGGATTCCTAAGACGACTAGCAAGCAAATTTGAAGCATAATCCCTAATTAGAAGTAGCCAGTCAAAGTGGGAAACCCAAGATTATCACCCATTCGTTTCGTGGGTACGATAATAATATTTCATAGGACGTAAATCTGACAAATCGGATATATTAGTACACCTATATTGATTAAAAAAATCCCCAATTTATCAACACCAGGGGGGAAGAAAAAAGACAATTTGGAATATTGAACCCAAAAATTCAAAAAATAATTAACCCAACTATGAACAGTAAATTAAAATAAATTTACTGGGACGGAACTTTGACCGACCTGATATCGGACGGGAGGGACGGCCACTTGTCGTGGTCCTTCAACGCCGGCGGCAAGTAGTGTAAAAAATAGTAATCGCTCCAATCGAGGACGGCGCCCTTTTGGACCCCGAGGCGGCTGCCGTACCCTTCGTAAGTCATGGGCGAGTTGGCGTACCTCTGCTTCACCTCCATGGGCTGGTGGAAGAATTCCCGCCAGGCCTCCCGGGCCCGGTCCATTAACTCTGGGCCCACCCCGTGGTTCACCACCTGGAAGAACCCCCAGTCTCGGCAGGCGGCCCAGATTTCCTCGTCCGACGACCGCCCGCCGCCGAGGTCAATGATGGGTATGTTGTTGTTGTTAACGTTGTGGTGGTGGTTGGTGGTGGCCGGCCGCTGGTGTGGCGGCTTGACGTAGCGGTCGGGGATGACGTGGAGGCCGCTTTCCGATAGGGATTGGACTCGGACGATAGGTTCCGGCCACTCCTGTAGGCCGCCGGTCATTGTTTATTTTATTTTAATAATTTCCCGGCGGTGTTAGTGAGGAGGTGATGAATGGTGATTATGTTGGGGGATTATTGGGGTTAATATTGGATTAAGGAACGTGAAGGGGAAGAGGGAAGGGTGGTGAAAGCGGATTAAGAGGGGGTAATTAAGAGGGAATCTCGATGGAGAAGAGAGAGTGGTAGAGAAAATGGGGGGAATGGAGGAGGAGTGTGTGTAGATTTGCGAAACTGAAGTTGACGTTTATATATTTGACAACGTGAAAATAATGGCCCTATTTTTTTCAGAGAAATTAATGAGGATCTTTTGTTATTTTTTCTTTCTTTATGGGTAACGGTTTGTTTTGTTTTATTTTTATGGTAACATATAATAATGACCGTTTTTATTTTCTGCCATGTGGTAATATAAAATCAAGGTTGTCAATCGCATGTGGATCCGGTTTGACTCATGTGGGTGATGAAAACGGGCACTACATACCTGTGAGTCGATCTGGTTATTGGGTTGGGGGTCACATGTTATCATTTTTTCTTAGGTTTGTGATTTGTGATTTGGGATTTTGGGATTTGCCGTGATTGGGAGATCTGTTCAAGATTGGATCCTCCTAATATCTCGGCGATTATGGACTGGTGCCGGTATATTATTCCCCAACGGGATTATCTTTACCGAGACCCTTTATTTGTTAAGAGTCCGAGTCCTAATCTATTTCCAAATCCTACACCTACCGTGACTCTTCGGCGCGGTTTTAAGTTGGAGTTGGAGCCTCTATTTATATTATCCTCACCGAAACCTATGAGCATAACCATCTCTCAATTTCGGTTTCGTGGAAGACCTGCTACCTTTGCATCCACCGTTCTCTGGCCCTCGTTGAGAACCGGCTCAGGAGTTGTGTACAATGGCCCACATTTCGAACGATCAAGTGGTTCAATTCTCCCTCGAGGAGGTGCAATCGACCCGCTTCCGTGCTTCTCGTACTCTCTTGGGTCGGCTATTCACCAATGATCGCGTCACGACCATGGAGCTGCGCGAAGGACTGCTGGATGCCTGGAAAATTCGTGGCCAGCTCAAGGTGCTGAAAACTAAGCAGGGACTCTTTGAGATCGTCCTGCCGAACGAGGAAGCTAAGCAATGGGCTCTCTCCAGAAACCCGTGGATCATCAAAGATCGTTTGCTTATTCTTCGTCAATGGTCCCCTGTCATCTCGAAAGGAGTATTTGAGGAGATGGTGAAAGCTCCCTTCCGTGTTCAGCTGTGGGGAGTTCAGGATGACCTTTGCACCAAACTGTTTGGGCAAAAATTAATAGCCGCTACCATGGGCAAGATTCTGGACTCAGGAATCTTTGCATGCAAGGATTCTGGGGAGCGTTTTATCAAAGTAAATACTATTATTGATTTCTCGAAGCCTCTCCGATCGCAGTTAATGGCGGTCTGTGAAGATGTGGATAGCTTTTGGGTGAGCCTCAAGTACGAATTTTTGCCGAATTTTTGCTTCCGCTGTGGCCGAGTTGGCCATGCTCGCCGTGATTGCAACCACGATCCACCGAACGGAAAAGAGCGGCTCGGACCGCACATGATTACTAAGCAAGTGGGCCGAAAGATCTATGAGGACGATGGGAATGATCCCATGCTGGGGGAGCCAGACGCTCTGTGTGGATCAATAGCCAGAGTCATGGCAAAACGATGGCGGATCATGGTGCTGCGGATCTTGGCACGCGGGCCGGGAACTCGATGAAGGCCGAGTCCTCGTTTGCTGCTGCGGGGGAAGCTCACCCGGAGAGGCCGAACGTGAACAAAGGAAAGGGTAAGGAGAGATCGCCGACCCGGCGTGGCAGTCTGGGGAGGGTCGTCCTCCACTGCCATCCCAAAATTCGCCTCGGCAAGAACCGGCCAAAGCTGACGGGCACTAGGGAGGAAAGTCTGATCGCTGATCCCTCCACACTAACGATGCGGGACATCCAGGACACCTCACCTGCAGGGCTGGGAACGGAGGCTAACCGATGCGATGTTCAATTCGAGAGAATCCAGGCTGACACGCGCCGCCGTCGACTTATCTTGGACAAAGATTCTGATGATGATATGATTGATACGCCTGGAGAACAGGTTGATGATGATGAGCAGCCTGCTGCTACTATTCCTCCATCGATGACTGTGGACGATGCGCAGGGTAAGAGGAAGCCTCGCCGCTCCAAAGCTGCCCCACAAAGCAAAGTGGTCGGGAGCGAGGTCCCCCGGATGATGATCAATGAGGCTGATGGGCATAGGAAAGAGCGACCCTCGGTGAACATTACTGCTGATGGTACTACGACGGGAGGGGGGAAGTGACTCCAAAGAAGCGGAAGCCGCGCCGAGCTAAAACCCAGATGTTGGCGAAGGAGAGTGCTGGAGCTGTGCCGCGAACTCAATCGACGGCTGCTGTGGGAAAAATGAAATCCCAGCCTGCGGCCTCTCGTGGCGGTTGGAAATTAAGGAAGGCGCAGAGTAGTGTGGCGGAAACGGAGACTAATCGTGAGGCTGGGGTATCCTCGAATGCAGTAAAGGAAGGGGAGGGGATGGGTGGTGCTGCGGTGGGTGATGGTGGGCATCTTCGCCCTTCCCCCTCAAGCGGCGTTATGGGATCCTCTCACTTGGGGGAGAGTGGATCGGAGGGATCAGGTTCGGGGGAGGAGTCTCAGGGCTTTATGATCAGAAAAAGAAGCCCACCGATTGCTTCACCTAAAATTTGCAATCCCTCCATGGGTAGGGTTAGCCAGGTGGTGGCAGCTTTCGAGGTGGGTTTGACTATTGCAGAGGAGGAAGGGGAAAAGGTGGCGGGTGAAACCAAGGATGACACAACAGGGGCTGGGAATTGCAATTCTACAGGATTGGATGTTGGAAGGTTGGATGAATACGGTTCCAACTTGCTTACCCCGTCGAATGGGGGTCTGAAGCGGTCCCTGGAGGTTGTGGAGGGGGAGGTGGGGATCCCGCCCACGCCCAAGAAGCAGTTTGTCGAAGATATTGAGGAGCATGATAAGGTGGAGGAAGCCAACCTGGAGTGGCCCCAGCCGGATAAATGAGGCTTCTTGCCTGGAATGTGAGAGGCATTGGACCTTCTCTCACATTCCAAACGGCAGTGGGTTTGGTCCGTTCCAACAACCCGGAGCTCGTGTTTTTCTCTGAAATGCGATGTAGCCGGCGTGTTGTCTCCCGTCGTATGCGGGGCTTAGGATTTGATATTTCTCGGTGTTTTTTTGTTGATGCGGTAGTTGCGTCTGGTGGGCTAGTGTTTGCTTTGTCCCCTGATGTTGATGCCTCTATTTTCTATTCTTCCAGCTTCTGTATTTGCTCCCAAATTAATGAAGTTGGTTTTTCTTATATCGTGGTTTGTGTTTATATTAGCTGTTCGGTTTCCGCAAGAACAGCCCAATTGGCCCACCTTCAAGAAATCTGTTCTGCTTTCCATCTCCCTTATGTGATTATTGGTGATTTTAATACGATCCTATCTGATAGCGAAAAAGATGGTGGTAACCCTTGGAATGCCAATAACTCGATCAGTTTGCGGAACTTTATTAACGATTTGGGGCTCCACGATCCTGGTTATCAAGGTGACCTCTTCACTTGGACGAATAAGAGAATGGGCAATGCTTGTATTAGAGAGCGGTTGGATAGGGCCCTATGCTCCCATTCCTGGATTGATCGATTCCCTGAAACTTTGTTAAAGCACTTTACGGACCAAGGCTCTGACCATAGAGCCCTCCTCCTGTCGGATAAGCTTTATAGGCGCCATTGCCGGCCCCTCTTCCGTTTTGATGCCCGTTGGGCGGATAACCCAGAAGTAAGGGCGATGGTAACCTATGTCTGGCAGGAGGACATTCAAGGAACCCATATGTTCTGCCTTTGAGAGCGCTTGAAAAAACTTCGACATCTACTGTATGATTGGAGTAGAGCGGGTACGACAAATTCCTTGCGGAATATTCGGACTCTCCAGGGCGAGATTGATAGGGTCAAGTTGATTCAGCCTATTGACTGGGACGTGGTCCGGGGGCTGGAGGCTGAGTTGAGTCGGCAATGGGAGGCGGAGGAACTTTTCTGGCAGCAGAAGTCCAGGGTCCACTGGCTCAAAAAGGGTGATAAAAACACGTCCTACTTTCATACTGTGACTAGAGCTCGTCGCAAGAGAAATTTTGTGGCTGGCCTTCGCAATGATGATGGGGAGTGGGTTTCTGATGAGAGTGGAAAAGCTGAAATAGCTACTTCTTTCTATCAGCACCTGTTTGCCTCTGAGAACCAAGTGGATAATATGGCTGAGCGGGTGGCATCCTTGCCTATTGCTCAATGTGTTACCCCTGAGATGAATGCCGGCCTCACTGCTGAGGTTCTCCCTGCGGAGGTGCATAAAACAGTATTTGCCATGGGTTCTAAGCAGGCTCCGGGTTCCGATGGTTTTACGGGGAAGTTTTTTAAGGCATTTTGGGATATTGTGGGTGATTCGGTGAATACAGCAGTGTGCTCTTTCTTTGCTACTAGTCGTATGCTTCGTAGCTTTAATCATACGTGGCTCACGTTGATCCCCAAGGTTGATAATGTGGAAACTATGCGGCAGCTGCGTCCTATCAGCCTCTGCCAATTCGTTTACAAAATAATTACTAAGATCATGGCTGAGCGTCTTGCCTGCCTTTTGCCTATTATTGTCTCTGATGGTCAGAATGCCTTCATCCGGGAACGTCAAATTGTGGATAATGTTCTCCTGGGGCATGAATTAATGCATTATCTTAAGATCAAAACGCGGGGTAAGAAAGGGTACATGGCTCTAAAGGTTGACATGGAAAAGGCCTATGATAGAGTCGAATGGCCCTTTCTCCTTGCGGTTTTGGATAAGATGGGCTTTAACTCTACCTGGCAGGGGTGGATTCGAGAGTGTCTTCGGTCGTCATCATTCTCTGTGCTTATGAATGGGACTCCATCGGGTTTTTTCACTCCTTCAAGGGGGCTTCGTCAGGGGGATCCTCTCTCTCCGCTTTTATTCGTGCTCTGTACGGAGGGCTTTGCGGCCCTTCTTCGCAAGGCTATCTCAGAAAAGAAATTGGAGGGAGTAAAGGTGGCCCCTCGTGTGCCTCGTATCTCGCACCTATTTTTTGCGGATGACTCTTATCTATTTTTGCGAGGGACTCTCCGGGAGTGTGAAAACTTGATTGAGGTCCTAAACGAATATGAGGAGTTAAGTGGACAACGGGTGAACCTGGAT